CCGTCTGTTCCTGATCTGGCTTCTCTCAATCTCCCACATGGACTTCCTCAGTCTGCATCCATGGAAGATTCTCAAGCACTAAGTGTTGATTCATCCTCTACTCCTACTAGTCAACCTGCTCCTGCTGAGCCTGATTATAACTCACTTTGTGGTGGCAGATCTCACAGAGATGGCAGATTTGGCAGAGGTCATGGTTGTAGATCCTCTGGTAACAGCACAGTGCAGTGTCAAGTGTGTTCTAAGTTTGGACACTCAGCTTTGGCAAGCTGACATTGGTATAATTCGCAGTTTCAACCTGCAACAGGTGCTCCTCAATACAACAGTGAACCTCATCCTGCTCAAGCACCTTGGTATGGTCCTCCTACATACTATAATCAAGCACCTCCTAATGTGTTGTATAAAACTCCTAGACCTGCAGCAGTGTACTCACCACCTCCTAGCACCTATATTGCTAACTCTCTACCTGCTCCTTCACCTGCCACTTCCTGGTTTCCAGATTCAGGGGCATCCTTTCATGTTACCAATGATCCTAAAAATATCCAACAGCCTACACCTTTTGAAGGACATGACCAGATCCTTGTAGGCAATGGTCAAGGTTTGAATATATCCTCTGCTGGTGTCAGTTCTTTTTCTGCACCTTCTCACCCTAGCACACACCTCTCCCTACATAATTTATTACTTGTGCCTATCATAACCAAAAACTTGCACAGTGTCAGCCAGTTTTCAAAAGACAATAATGTCTATTTCCTATTTTCTGATGATAAATGCCTTGTCAAATCCCAGGCTTCTGATGCAGTCTTGATTGAAGGGCATGTCGGATCTGATGGCTTGTATGAGTTTCCCTCTCTTGACCTGTCCAAGCCAACTTCTGCACCTAGTTTGTCTCTTTTACCAAATAATGTACCTAATATTAATTCTGTTGGTGTACATGTTACTCTGCCCTATGTTTGGCATCTAAGATTAGGGCACCCTCATGTTAATTCTCTTAAACTTGTGTTGCAAAGTTGTAATGTTCCCTTTTCAAATAAATACAATGAGATTTTATGTTCGGCCTGCTGTATCGGAAAAGCTCATAGGCTTCCATCTTCCACTTCAAACACCAAGCCTCTAGAATTGGTGTTCACTGATTTGTGGGGACCTTCACCTCAGACTTCAGCAGCAGGGTACTCCTACTATATGTCATTTGTTGATGCCTATACTAGGTTTACTTGGTTGTACCTGCTTAAGACCAAGTCTGAAGCATTTAGTGTGTTTAAAAAGTTCAAAACTATGGTTGAACTTCAGCTTAATCTTCCCATCAAAGTTTTGCAATCTGATTGGGGTGGGTAGTTTAGGCCCTTTACTAACTATCTTACAGATTTGGGAATTGTTCACAGACTTATCTGTCCTCACACTCACCACCAAAATGGAGTGGTTGAGAGAAAGCACAGACACATTGTGGACATTGGTCTTACATTGTTAAGCCAAGCTGCTTTGCCCTTAACCTACTGGGATTATGCTTTCTCCACTGCAGTTTATCTTATCAACAGACTACCCACATCATCTCTTCAATTCAAAGTCCCTTTTACTCTTCTTTTCAATCAACGGCCTGACTACAAATTTTTAAAGGTGTTTGGTTGTGCCTGTTTCCCATTACTCAGAGCCTACCTTAGTCACAAACTTGAATTTAGATCCCAAGAATGTCTCTTTCTGAGCTATTCCACCTCTCATAAAGGGTATAGGTGTCTTGCACCCAATGGTAGACTTTAAATCTCCAAGGACGTTCTCTTCAATGAGAACAGGTTTTTCCCTTTTCTGAACTTTTCCATACTGCTTCTTCCTTACCTTGAGCTTCAATAGATTTTCATGTTTCTCCTCTCAGTTTCAGTCCAGGATCTTCCCTGGCTTCCTCCACATTTTCAGGGACTTCAGCTCCTACCATATCCTCTGCTTCTGAATATCAGTCCACTCAGATACCTCAGTCTACTGCCTCTGCTCAGGAAGACTCTTCTTCCTCTAGTCAAGTGGACTTATCTAACTCAACTGCCTCCACTGAGTCTGCTTCTTCCTCCTCTGCTTCCTCATCTGAACATTATTCACCTACTACCATACCTCCTTTAGCTATTCATGTAGCTTCTATCCCTACAAATCTGCATTCTATGCAAACTAGGGCAAAGTCTGGTTTTGCTCAACCTATGCTTCAACCAAGACTTTTGCTCACTCATGGGAACCCAAGAATCCTAAACAGACCCTTGCTGATCCTAAGTGGAGGGCAGCCATGCAGGCTGAATATGGTGCACTCATTAAGAATGACACCTGGTCCCTTATGCCGCTTCCTGCTAACAAGCAAGCCATAGACTGCAAATGGGTTTTTAGGGTTAAGGAGAACCCTGATGGGACAGTTAATAGGTTTAAAGCCAGACTTGTGGCCAAAGGATTTCATCAAAGGCATGGATTTTATTTTAATGAGACATTCTCCCCAATTGTAAAACCAATCACCATCAGAATTATACTCACAATTGCCATCACTCACAACTGGGTCAATTCAACAGCTTGATGTCAATAATGCCTTTTTGAATGGGTTACTTGATGAGGAAATTTTCATGGAGCAACCTCAAGGTTTTGCACATGCTGATTATTCCCTTGTTTGTAAACTCAACAAAGCTCTTCATGGCCTTAAACAGGCTCCAAGACAGTGGTTTGAGAGGCTCAGGTCTGCACTACTGAAGCTGCAATTCCAGGCCAGCAAATGTGATCCTTCACTGTTTATCTTGGTCTCACAAGGGCACACTACCTATCTGCTGGTCTATGTTGATGATATTATCATCACGGGCAGTTCCCCCATCATTTTGCAGGAAGTTATCACCAAGCTTAATGTGGCTTTTTCCCTAAAGTTATTTGGCACTCTTGACTACTTTCTGGGTATTGAAGTCAAGCAAGCTGCTTCAGGATCCATGTTGCTTACACAGGGCAAATATCTAAGGGGTCTCCTGCATAAAACTAACATGATTGAAGCTGCCTATGTTACTACTCCTATGCAATCTACCTGTAAACTCACTAAGACAGGTTCCCCTACTCTCTCTGATCCCTATATGTACAGGTCCATTGTTGGGGCCTTACAATATGCCACAATCACTCGCCCTGGTATTACATATGCAGTTAACAAAGTGTGTCAATACATGGCACATCCCCTTGAAATTCATTGGGTTGCAGTCAAAAGAATTTTGAGATACCTCAAAGGCACTCTCAATCAAGGTCTGCTACTCACTCCTCTCATTCCTTCTGTCATTCCTTCTCTTCAGGTTTTCTGTGATGCAGACTAAGCTGTTGATCCTAATGACAAAAGAAGTACCTCAGGGGCTGCTATTTTCTTTAGTTCTAATCTGATCAGTTGGTAGTCCAAGAAACAGCCAGTTGTTGCCAGATCTAGCATTGAGGCTGAGTACAGAAGCTTGGCTCAGGCAACAGCTGATTTACTCTGGGTGCAGACCATTCTTCAGGAGCTGTGTGTCCATACTACCTTGCCTGTGATCTACTGTGACAACCAGTCAGCTGTTTCTTTAGCTCATAATCCATTTCTTCACTCAAGAACTAAGCATATGGAGATTGACTTATTTTTTGTCAGGGAAAAAGTTCTGGCTAAACTGCTTCAGGTTCAACATATTCCTGGCATTGCACAGCTGGCTGGCTGACACACTAACCAAACCTCTTGCCTCTACTAAATTCCTTGAACTCAAGCACAAACTCAGGGTAGCAAGCTCCCCATGAGTTTGTGTGCGTGTATTGAATGTATAGCAAGTTTAGATAGTGATAGATCTAAAGTCCACTGACAGGTGGCAATTGTTTGTAAGTGAACCTGCTATTGCAGGTCACGATAACAGCTATATAAGATAGCTTGTAACTATCAATGTAACTAACCGAAACAGAAAATATAATTCAGTTACAGAGAGAATGAAAACTCTCCTTTACTCTTCTATCAAGTTGGTTGGGACTTGCCACTCATTCCAGCCATGTTTTTGGCATCCCTCACACTTGTCTATGGCTATAGGGTCATCAAATGGCTTACTCTGATTGAGATAAATTTGAGGTTTTGTACACCATATTACAGTGTAAATTGGGTTGGTATTGAGAATATTGAGAAATTTTAGCATGGGAATGTTAAATTTTCAGACAACATTTAGCTGGATTTTCATAAATGAAGTTATTCGGAACATAGATGTAAATAAGCTAGTCAAACTACGACTTTATATGAAGTTCTTTGCAATATTTTAGTTGTCAAGTTTACCATGTTGAATAAGATAAGATAATGATATTTAACCAATTTGAGGGTTACAGATCATGAGGAGGATTGTATGTTCATGAAATAGAAGGCATACCAAAGGAAGGATGATAAGAAATCTTCCTCAAATAAACTGATAAGAAAATAAACATCTGAGAGAAGCAAATTTCTATTTAGAACTTCTCTTTTTGTGAATGCTTTACCTGTCTATATATGAAAATGAGTATATCTTTGAATTTTGAATTTCCAAGATTCTAGAAGATTCTCAGTTACATTCTAAACATAACAAACCTAGCTCTCTTTCGGGAACTAGTTACATTATGCTATGATTATAAACTTGGGTATGCATATAAAATACCTCTGTAATCGTCTAAGCTTCAGAATACAATTTTAGATTCAAATAAGTATTTCCAGCCTCTCTCCCTTTCTCAATACAACAACAACAACTAAGCCTTATCCCACTAGATGGAGTCGGGTACATGGATCAACTTTCGCCATAATATTCTATCAAGGACCATGCTTCTATCCAAATCATTAATCTCGAGATCTTTCTTAATAACTTCTCCTATAGTCTCCGTCTCTCAATAGAAAACATTAAATTAGAATGCCACTAAAGGCAGGGATAAACACAATATGTGCTAGTATAAAAAATGTCTAATTAAGTATTCGATACAAAATTATAAGATGAAAAATATCAGTCCATAATTATGCATTGTATCTTTGCATCTCTAATCTATATTACCTGAGCAAGTTTAAAACTAGGAGAATCTTCTTGATACTTGGCAATAAAGAATTCCCGTAAACTTGAAATGCTGGGATATCTACTTTTGATAGAATGTAGAGAAGCCTGCAAATCATATCATAGAATATCTAAAGATTAGTAAAGATAAATGTAGAAGTTTCAATAAACTTGAAATGCGTAAGAAGAGAATTACCGTATCTGGAATTGTTTCAATAAGAGCAGTGTAAGAAGAAGTGCATAACACTTCATACGGGCGCAGCCAAAGAGGAAGTCCAGCTTCTTGGAAAATATCTGGAACAAAAACCTAATGATAGTCACCATTTAAGCAACATATCAAGAAACATAAAACAGACAGAAGTCTACTGCATGCTGAGTTAATCTCGTGACATAATACAGTAAAATAAGATCCACTCGTGCATCAAGAACAAAATAGGGTACAGCCAGCCGGTTCACTGGACGATTTTGAATCTTTCTTTTACATGGTTCCAATTTAGTTCACAAGTACTGCACCAAAAACTGCAAACATGTAGATTTAGTATATCTTAATGTACATGTGCAAAAAGGAACTTAAAGAATAAGACCTTTCATGACTTGTGCTCCATCGTCCCCCTTTACATAAGGTGTAAAATGAAAAGATGGTGAAATTTATAGAATAGCTGGAGTGAAAGTTTTTCTGCCCGTTATAAAAAGTACAAAGAAGCGTTTGGTATCTTTATGCTTTCAATCTTGAGGACAAGGTTGAATTTTACGGCATGGTATTGTTAGGATAGAAGATTAGGATAAGTTAATGACAGTGCAATAGTTAGAGTAGTTGGTTCATTGATTGGAAGGAATCAGCATACATAATTCTTAGAATCTGTGAGTTGGGCCTAACTCAACCCTACAAAACCGGCTTGTAAGGTGAGGATTACTCCCACTTATAAACTCATGTTCAGGCCATATATTATCCGACGTGGGACTCTTAACACCCCCTCTCACGCCCAGGAATTAGGGCTGGAGCGTGGAACTAAATGGTAGATGGCCCAATGGATCTTAGATGAGGCTCTGATACCATCTTAGAGTGTGTGAGTTAGGCCTAACTCAACCCTACAAAACCGGCTTGTAAGGTGAGGATTACTCCCACTTATAAACTCATGTTCAGGCCATATATTATCCGACGTGAGACTCTTAACAATAATAATTAGGACACGAGGGAAGAGTGGCATCATTCAGGTTTGCAAACAGTGAGTGAATAGAGAAATGGCTCTGTTGTAGAAGGGAAAACTCGTGGAGAATCTTCTGTCTTATTCTCATTCTTTCAACAAAATTGTGTTCTTTCTATTCCTTTTTTCCTATCAATTTTTTATATAAAAAATTAGGTTGTTAACAGGGTCCACCATACAAAGTGACGAAGAGATAGAGAGATGTCAACTATAGGCTGAGGCAGAGCCTCTTGTATGGATGCAGTAGCCATAACCACGCCAAAAATGATAATATATATTAATTAGCTATTATTCAACTAGCTAATGAATCACGTTAAAAAAAGTTGCACTACAATTATACTATCTTTGTCCCTATAATTATAAATAAATATAAGAGCTTTTGTTAATACAATAATATATAAATTACTGTTATGAACCTAACCTAGAAATTAAATTGAAAAGAGATCCCTCCTCCAAGGGTTTTCCTTTCTACAATAGATCCACTTCTCTATTCACCAAATGTTTACGAATCTGAATGTCTTCCCTCTATCCTTGTATCCTCCTATTCATACAAATATTCATCTAACTAACTGCTCTAACGACTCTTACTAGTTACTACTTACTCCATTCTATATCCTAACAGTGTGCTCCATAACGAACATCACAGGAACGATAATTGTCAAATTTTGAATGAGAGCAAAGGAAAAATTGGATAAAGACCACCTACCATAGAAATGTGAAATAAGTTGAACTGCCAGATGCTCCTGTCTACAATCGTCCCCACTCTTAACAATAACCTATGTAAAAAGAGGAAACTCTGCTATCATACTCATGGGAATTGTGATCTCAAAGCACATATTCTCAAACACATAATCAAATAACTCATCTACAACAAAAAATGACAAGATAATGCTACTTTCAACAAGTCAACAAAATCAAGATTGTGCTTGCTAATGTATATTCTCATTCCTGACTCTATCATGTGAACACCATCATGATATATGCAACACATATGTGTGTTGCAATCTCTATTCTCTAACTACAAACAAAAATGAAGGAAATATCCAGCAATGAAAATATATAGAAAACATATCCTCTGCTAGCCCATTTTCTAAACAACAGTTTCCAGCTAAAATGTGATGTATTAATCAAAAAGCAAGCTTTTCTAATAAGTTGTGTCCACCTTCCTCATAGTTGCACTAGTGGAGAACATTCTTTTAGATTGTTGCTTTGTTGATATTGTCACGTCTTAATTATGCAAACCATTCCGAAAATACATTGACTGGTGTTGACTACTGACTACTGACTACAATATTTCTCAACAAAAAAAAAAGATTTAATACACCGCACCTTCCGACTTGTTTAGCACACCATGTTAAGCATGACTGGATAAACCTACATGTTACGTTGTGAATTAAACCGTTGTTTGATGCACATAGTCTATTTCTATAAACTTACTGATCCACTTAATCCCTCTTATACATAAAAATGATGGATAACTTAATCAAATCTTGTATATGAGGAGGAATTTATTTTCTACAAGTTAGATTAACATAGTAAATTCATATAAACTAGCGCCCAGTCAGGCACTAATGTGCCCCATCTTTCCACTTTTATTGATAAAAATAATATGTTATAAAAATTCATCTGATTAAAGTTAAGTTGGGTTAAAGTTTTGTTTAGATAGCATAGCTGCTAAAATTTTATCAAGTATTATTCTATCGTGCATACCACATGGGCTCTTTTGTAAATTTTAAAAAATATGATGGATAGAAGTACAAGATTCCCAATCGTAACTAGGAGTTACAACCATGCATAATGTTGAAGATTAGCACATATCAAATCATAATCATTTGATTCTGATTTGTCAAGCTGTTACAAAACAGTGGTGTAAATAGATTTATTATCTTTTATTTTGATTTCCTTATTTAGGTAGCAGCAATTATAGGAAATTATTTCTCTGTTTATTAACAAATTAGTGTATTGTATTCTATATATACCTCACAATGTAACAGTTCCAATATAATGAAATATATAACGTATTTCTATACGGTAACAGAGCATAAGATCTGAACCATCCTTAAACCTTGAGCACCACCCATGGCAGATACTAAAGCAGAAAATTCAGCCAACAGTTTGGCCGAAGGACATGCTCTTCCTATCACTGGTCACAAACTGAATGGCCAGAATTACAATCAATGGGTGCGCTCAGTCAAAATCTACCTTCAAGGAAAAGGGAAGGAAGGTTATATCACAGGAGACTCCAAGTGTCCAAAAAAGGGGGATTCCAACCTTGAAAAATGGCAACTAGAAAACAGTCTAGTAATGTCATGGCTACTAAACACCATGACAAATGAAATTGGAGAAAATTTCTTGTACTATGATACTGCCAAAGAGATGTGGGATGCCGTAAAGGAAACCTACTCTAATGTCGACAATACATCTGCAATATTTGAAATCAAGAGCATACTCCATGACTTGCGTCAAGAAGACCGCTCAGTCACAGAGTATTTTAATACTCTCAATCGTCACTGGCAACAACTGGATGTATATGATGAAGCTGAATGGAGCTGCACAGAGGATAAAAAGAAGTACAAAGAATTGGTGGAGAAAGATAGAATCTACAAATTTCTTAGGTTTGAACACAGAACTTGATGAAGTTCGTGGGAGAATCCTTGGAACCAAACCTCTTCCAAAAATTCGAGAAGCATTCTCGGAAATACGAAGAGAGGAAAGAAGGAGAAAAGTGATGCTTGGAAAATCCAGTGCAGCCCCATCTATAGAAGGATCTGCAATGGCAGCAAGGGGAGATCATCGATCTTTCCAAAAGAAAACACGGCCATGGTGTGACCACTGCAAGAAACCGGGTCATACCAAAGACACATGTTGGATCATTCATGGAAAGCCATCAGAGCTAAAATGGAGCAAAAACCGGGACAGCAGAGGGAACACAGCTGAGGTAAATTCTCACTCATCACCATTCAACAAGGAGCAAATGGAAGCCTTACAAAAATTGCTTCAACAAACAATTGGTACAGCTACTGTGGCACAAAAAGGTAATTTTTTGCATGCTCTAAACACTAGCAGGGGAAAACAAAAATCATGGATTATTGACTCAGGAGCATCTGATCACATGACTGGAGATTTGACTGTCTTTGATAGCTATTCTCCATGTCAAAATAATTCGACTGTTCGAATTGCTAATGGTACCCTTTCTAAGGTCATGGGTAAAGGTTCAGTCATTATTTCGCAAAATATTACTCTTAGTTCAGTACTGTATGTGCGTGCCTAAACTTGATTGTAATTTGCTGTCCATAAGTAAACTTACAAAGGATTTGAAGTGTATCACTATATTCTTTCCTAACCTGTGTGAATTTCAGATTTTGGAGTCGGGGAGGACGATTGGCAATGCTAAAGAATGTGCTGGACTCTATATCCTTCAGGCTGAAGCATCTAAACCAGAATTCGAGGCAACCTCTTGCGCTGTAGTTTCTGCATGTAGTGAAAATTCTGCAATGCTGTGGCACTATAGACTAGGCCACGCAAATTTTATGTACTTGGAAAAAATGCTTCCTAAACTATTCAATAAAAATCAGAAGTTGTTTCAATGTGAAATTTGTCAATTGTCCAAACATACACGCAGCCCCCACCCACCTCAACCCTATAAACCTTCCCAACCTTTTTATGTTATTCATAGTGATGTATGGGGACCATCGCGGGTCAGAAATGTAACTGGAGCAAGATGGTTTGTCACATTTATTGATGACCACACGCGGATCACTTGAGTCTACCTTATGAAAGATAAATCGGAAGTTGGTAGGATATTTGAATGTTTCCATACCATGGTGCAAACACAATTTCAAAGCAAAATTAGAGTGCTTGGGAGTGATAATGGTCGTGAGTACTATAATTCTGCACTAAGCTCATACTTTACGCAACATGGAATAATACACCAAACCTCATGTGTGGATACACCTCAGCAGAACGGGGCTGCCGAGAGAAAGAATATACACCTCCTAGAAGTAACCCGATCTCTCATGCTAGCTACAAATGTACCTAACCAGTTTTGGGGAGAAGCTGTCCTCTCTGCAACCTATCTAATAAACAGAATGCCTTCCCGAATCCTTAACTTTCATACGCCTTACTCCACTCTCCAAACCTTATACCCAACCAATCGTATTCTTATATCTATTCCTTTGAAAATATTTGGATGCACAACCTTTGTCCATAATCTTGATCCCCAACGCAGTAAACTTGACCCGAAATCCATTAAATGCATATTCCTCGGCTACTCTCCTCACCAAAAGGGATACAAATGTTATTCACCTCAAAACAAAAAACTCTACCACACCATGGATGTAACCTTTTTTGAGAATCAGCCATATTACCCCAAAGTTGGCATTCAGGGGGAGAACACATATCCAATTGAAGTGGTAGAATCCCAACTTTTGGAACTTGAGCTAACTGAACCCAAACTCACTGCAGAGGCATCAAAACCTACACCTGAACCAAATGAAAATGCAACAGAAACTGCAGAACTTACATGTGGACCAGAAGAAACTACGTTAGAAAATACAGAGGAAATTGCAGTAGAAACTGCAGCCCCTACAACAGAAATTGCACCAGGAAACAACATGAAAGTGTACTCCAGGAAGAACAAGAAGGGAATAGAGTCCTGCACAACTCCAAGGCAGAACCAAGAAACCTCCAAGACTCCAGAAAATGGCGTTCCCTCAGGTAATACTGCTCCTAACTCTGTGAATGTTGATATTGATATTCCTATTGCGTTGAGAAAAAATGTAAGATCCTGTACCAAACATCCCATTGAAAGATTTGTATCTTATGGAAAATTGTCCCAAAGTTACAAGACTTTTGTAACAGCTCTTGACAATACACATATTCCAAGCAACATCCATGAGGCACTCCAAAATTCTGAATGGGCAGCAGCTGTAACGGAAGAGGTTCAGGCCTTAATTAAGAATGGCACTTGGGAAATCACAAGCCTACCTGCAGGGAAGAAGCCGGTAGGATGCAAATGGATATTCTCCATGAAGTATAATGCAGATGGGAGTGTAAATCGGTACAAAGCTCGACTTGTAGCAAAGGGATTTACTCAATCATATGGAGTAGATTATGAAGAGACTTTTGCACCGGTGGCAAAACTAAACTCCGTTAGAGTTATTCTCTCTTTGGCTGCAAATTTAGATTGGCCACTCCATCAACTAGACATCAAGAATGCCTTCTTAAATGGTGACCTAGAAGAGGAAGTTTATATGCAGATTCCTCCTGGACTCGAATCATCCAGCACCGCAAATATGGTGTGCAGGCTCCGAAAATCCCTTTATGGCCTCAAGCAGTCCCCAAGGGCGTGGTTTGATAGATTAACTCGAGTTGTCAAGAAAGACGGGTTCAACCAATGCCAATCAAATCACACTATGTTTGTTAAACACTCCATGGAAGGAAAGATAGCTTTGTTTATTGTTTATGTGGATGATATCATTATTACAGGAAATGATTATGATCAAATTGATCATTTAAAGGGACTCTTGGCAAAGGAATTTGAAGTTAAGGACTTGGGACAACTTAAGTATTTTTTAGGGATGGAAGTTGCTCGAACAAAGGATGGTATCTATGTATCACAAAGGAAATACACCCTTGACTTACTTCAAGAAACTGGAATGCTTGGGTGCAAGGCAGCTAATACACCAATAGAACAAATAAAAGGAAGAGAAGATGAAAGTCCACCAGCCGACAAAGATAGATATCAAAGTCTAGTTGGGAAACTAATCTACCTATCTCACACTAGGCCTGACATTGGGTTCGCTGTAAGCTTGGCTAGTCGCTACATGTCAAATCCAACCGAGTCTAACATGAAAATGGCGAATAGAATCCTCCAATACCTCAAAGGCACACCAGGTCGAGGCCTCCACTTCAAGAGAAATTCAAACAGGGACGTTGAAGTTTATACAGATTCAGATTGGACAGGATGCTCCACAGACAGAAAATCGACTACAGGTTATTGTTCATTTGTGTGGGGGAACCTAGTAACTTGGCGAAGCAAGAAACAAACTGTAGTGGCGAGGAGTAGTGCAGAAGCAGAATTTAGAGCTATGGCCCTATGTATTTGTGAAGGAATGTGGCTTAAGAGCATGCTAGATGAAATCAAAATTCCAGTGAACCATACTGTGAGGTTACTATGTGATAACAACGCTGCTATAAGCATTGCAAAGAACCCAGTCCAACATGATAGAACAAAATATGTGGAAATTGACCGACACTTCATTAAAGAAAAAATTGATCATAAGATTATAAGTATTGATCATGTCCCATCATGCAAGCAAACTGCAGATATCTTAACCAAGGCTCTTCCAAGGAATACTTATGAAAATATCAAATCCAATCTGGGTATGATAGACATCTACCACCCAGATTGAGGGGGAGTGTTGAAGATTAGCACATATCAAATCATAATCATTTGATTCTGATTTGTCAAGCTGTTACAAAATAGTGGTGTAAATAGATTTATTATCTTTTATTCTGATTTCCTTATTTAGGTAGCAGCAATTATAGGAAATTATTTCTCTGTTTATTAACAAATTAGTGTACTGTATTCTATATATACCTCACAATGTAACAGTTCCAATATAATGAAATATACAACGTATTTCTATACATAATTACAGTTGCAAAACATTATTTTGAGACTTGGATAAATAGCAAATAGAAAATCAGTAAATCAACAAACCAGTTTTACTTAGGTTGTGAAAAATGATTGATTAAGAGATGCTCGTGGTGAATTCATATTCTTTTGATTGATAAAAATACTTACAGATCTCAAGTCCCAACCAGGTAAGTTTCCATGTATAGAAGCCTTCTTTATCCTCTCTTTCTTTACCTCCCAAAGTTCACCAGACAAGGCATCGCTGGCTTTAGGAGTAATTCCGTTTGCCTGTATGGAGGAACCATGTCAAGTATTATGTGTAGCAACTCCACATTTCTAAGGTTGTTGGACAAAACTTAATCTAAAGCTATGTCTTACTCCTGGCTGTGCATCGGATGAATCTTGACCAGCCCCTTTCAATGGGAGACCAAGAGGTGCTTCCCCTTTTGCTGCCGCGGCCTACCATATTTGAAATTTGAAATGTTAGCAAAAACTAAATAGTAACATGAGAGAGAGAGAGATCACCATTAACAATAAAGATGAAATAATGAAAGATAGCATCCTCATTATTCATGAGGAATATCACGGAAAGACCCACCTTTACTTCCTCTAGTGCTACTGTGCTTGGAACACGGCGATGCTCCTTTCTTCGTCGTGGAGTTGGATTCTCAATATCTTCCATTCTAACCCCAGGATCAGCTTTCAACACTACCCTTACCCACTCCACATCATTGTCATTTTCTGGTCTTTCCATTTCTTGTATGCCCTCTCTATAAACTGCAGCAGAACACCAACCGACACCAGATGGATCCACATTAGTCTTCTCGAGCTGACCATATGATTGTCTTTGGACAGAAAGATTCACACTAACAAATCTGATTTTTGCCTCAGACACATCGGTAATTGCCTGATCAATAGCCTGAGCTGTTGATCTGGACATTCTATCATTGCTATTACGATATACCTCTTGTGCTGTCCATGATGGATAAGCCCAAGTGGGTGGCTTTTGCAAGAGAGCGTCTCCATTTGCCAAGGGGATTCCACCTTTAGAATGTTTCTGAGACCTAGATGCCTCCCTGAAAATGCTATAACAAATGTTTCGGGGGAAGGGTAACATATCAGGAAAATGATTTTCCGCCTATTTTTCACAATACATGAGGATTACTATCCAATACCTGGGCGTTTCACATCTCAAGACCTCAACACAGATCAGGTAAGGTGCCTTCTCCCTAGAGTTCAAGAGAACAGCTTCCTCTTCAGAAATATAAAGTGCACGGTACATTCCCTTTCCCAATGGAAAACAAACGCCTAGAAAAATAGGAAAAGCAATATTCATGTACATGTAATCAGAGGGTATACGAAAACTGCAAGCAAAGAGAATGTAGTAAATAACTGACACTAAAAAAGATATATATTTATAATATAGAAATACAACATACAACAATTCTATTACATTAGAGAAAAACTTCTCACCAGTTCCCCCAGAAATGAGCCCTTAATATGTACTCTCTCCGGCCCTATTATAAGAGACAATTAGGCTTTTTTTTGTCTTAAATATATGAAACACAGTACATTTTTTAAGTGTATTAATTATATTTAAATTCCTTTTATACCTCTACTGTATTGTAAGTTCTATTTTACCAATAAATCCATCATTCCTATGCAAGTAAGTTTCATTCGGTGAATGTTGAGGGCGTTTTTTGGAGAAAAAAGTGAGCATTAACTCTTCTGAATATGCTTCCTAGATCTTTCTGATTTTTTTTTCCTTTCTCGTAAATAGGACCGGAGAGAGTAGTTTTTAACCATTAATTTGAAGAGAAATAAATAAATAAAAAGAGAGAAAAAAACATTGATGGATACATGGAAAATTTCATCAGCTTCTCCACCAGATTTGTTAGTGTGAATCTTTCTGTGGAGATACTCTTGCAGTCAATATAATATAATATATTCCCAACAACTAAACCATTTACCATGGTAATTTAAGAGAAAAAGAATAAGGTAAGTTTTGGACTCTTCACCGTGAGAGGTAACCACTACTAAAATAGTTTAATAACTCTGGAAATACCCTGGTCTTATATATAAGACCTTTTTTAAAGAAAGAAAGAAAAAGTGTCCTTTCATAGATTTACTATTTTTTCTGAACATACCCCTAATTAATAGTACTGAGTGTCATGAGAGATGAGAAGTCAGAGTTGAATTCGTTCAGATACAGAAGGGTAATTTAAGAGCATATATATGCAAAAGGGATATACATTAAATATACTACCTACTATTCTTAATATATATATAAAGAACAAAGGTTGTAATATTTAATCTGGGTTGACTGAAACAGACGACAACTAGTGGAATCCATTGAGCCCTATTGAACATCACTAAAATAATGTCACTAATAGTTAAAAAGTACCTCCAGTATTATGAGCCTCTGTTAAATGCAAATTGATTTCTGCAAGTGACTTGAAACACAGAAATAACAATGAATATGTATATGTCAGAAACATCAAAACGTAACAAATTCAAACATCTATATGAATAGATATGTGCATACATTTTATCTCTATGACAATAAGATAAACTAAACATTACAAAAAATATAAAAGAATAACCTCATGCAGAGCACGTTTGCGATCTTCAATTGGAAAAACATCAACTAACCCAAATGATATCTCACACAATGACAGCACAAAATCCAATGACCCGTGGTAAGCTCCTTTCCGAAACTGTGATAAATTAACTGGAAGAGGGGGCTTTGTTCCTGATTTCTCATTTTGCTGATTTGGTGATCCAGGACAGCTCTACAAAAGTAATGTGATAAAATCCAATTGAGGCATACAATGTGATAGATGGAAAATGTCATTTTTCTAATATTAAACCAACAAAACATGAAGAAGAAAATTAAAACAGACTTCCCAATGAATTGATATCTATGTTACTCTTCTGACCCCTAACCCACAAACGACAACCAGAGACATTACATTACCAATAAAATTATTACCCAGGCCACTAACAAGCATGTAAAATGTCATTCACCAATGTCTGCAATATGACGGTTGCTAATAATTAGTGCAGGAGGGCCAATCATGGTTGAAAAATGTAATCAATATCATAATCTTGAGGGATACAGTATATTGAATTATGTATCGTGGTGCCACATGGTCATTAAGCCATTTGTATGGTTGAAAAGAACTATTTAGTGACCATGTGTGCCTAAACATTTATTTTGCTCATAATTTCAGTACAATCCAAATCCAACAATCATATAAACAAATAAATATAACTTGTTAAATAAAGATTCGACGGACCTCTTTATCCTTTTTTAACCCCAATTGCTCTGAATTTTCAATTGAACGGTCACGATCTCTAAGCAATTTGCGGAAAAAAAATTCTGCGGCTGGACTATTTTCAACTAAGCCACTATTATTGTCTTCATTGGCTGAATCCCCTTTACCATCTTCAGGGTGCACACGACCATCTTCAGTTTTATCATTGATAGCTTTCTTGTCCTCAAATTTATCCTTAAATAATTTCCGGAAAAAACCTTCTTTTTCATCCTCTTCAGCAGGCTTTGCGCATTTCTCTTCAGAATTACGAATATTTCCATCCTTCTTATCTTCAAATTTATCGCGGAAAAGCTTTCGTAAAAAACCCTCCTTTTCTTCATCTTCCATTGCTCGAGTGTGTGTTTTATCCTCGGAATCATTCTTGCTATCCCGAAACAATCTCTTGAAAAATCCCTCTGAACTTGAGGCCAGATCCTCATCCTCTCCACCTTTACTGTCACTCAAGAGCCTTTTAAAGAAACCGTCCTCAGAGTCTTCATCATCCCCTCTACTATCCCTTAAGAGCCTTTTAAGGAAATTATTCTTTTCAGAGTCTTCATCACAATTCTCAACTGACTTCCTAAAAAGCAAAGCATCTCTAACCTTGGGGCCTGGCATAAATTTCCGAAACAGCTTGTTTTCTTCGACAGACTCCAAACTACTATCCTCTTGCAAATTGTTTCCCGAAGAAGGCAAGAACGACAAAGATCTCTGCGTAGGCGACAAAGATGTTAGCGACAACAATATTTTATTCAAAACTTGGTTCTTGCCTGGCGGGCTCAAAGATGCACTTTGAGGCCTTATCAAAGGTGGCCACTCCCCCATAAAGGTGGCTGCAGTTTGACACTTGTCCTGAATACTACTAATCCCATCATTGTCATAAGATTCCTCATGCTCAGCCAACAAGAACCAATGCACCTTCAAAGCAATCTTAAGTGACTTGGAGCACACATCTATAACAAATTTATCCAAAGAGGGACTGGGTTTATGTATCATCATATAACAAACTTGAAACAAATAACCCTCGACTCCCTGCAAGGGAAGTGTGTACATTCTATTACAGAGATAATCGCGCACACCAGCATGATCATGCTTGTACAAGTAGCTAACAGCAATCCACTCACAGAAGAATGGAGAGTCAAAGAATCTGATAAGCCAGCCATTTTCACTGGACTCGGTCGTCAGATTCGACCGTGAAACAATTTCTCTGGGTTCTTGATCCACCGCACGAGTCAATCCTAAGAACCTCACCATATTGAATCTACCATCATCAACGAAACCGAGAGCAACAAAACCATCTCAATTTCAATCAGATCGCTAGCTATATGCATGCTTAAACCCTAGAAATCCCTAAACAATATGCATGGTTAAATCCATAAAAGAATTCGAGGAATTATCGAAATGCGGGTTCAATGGAATTGGAGGAAATTGCGTGAGAGGTGAAATGTGAATGGCGGTGTAACTGAGGGAAGTATGTGGAATTGGATCGAACGCCGCAATGGATTGTTCAAAACGGCGGCGTTTCGATGCGGAGACAATGGTGCGGTGATCGTGGTCGTTGCTGTTTCTTTGTTAAGAGGGTGCGCGGGTTAACTGCAACATGCCACGCCTCTAGGGTCGTGGGGGACACATTGTTAATCTTTTTTATCATTAAAAACTGAACGGACACGCTGTTTTTTGAAAATTAGGTACGTGTTTTGGTGCGGACACGCTGTCTGTTTATTTCCCTCCATTTTCAATCTAAACGAAATATGTTTTTTTATTTTATAAAAAAAATATATGTTCCTCTACACAAGTGAATTGCATATATTAATTCTTCCTGTAGAGAAAATCATAGGGCAATTTCTTTTCTCTTTTGGACGCAATTTAAATCTCTTTACTCTTCATCTATTAATCAAGCAGTCATTTTATTTTATTTTTCTTAAATTCGAAGATATATCTATGAAAACTATTATTTCAGATATACATCTCTAAAAAAAACATAACATATTGTATATGCCTAATTCTAATCTCCTGACTCTTCCTTTGTCGTCGATAACCTAAGAGATTTTGTGTCTCAGTAAGAATGGAACATGCTAGGACAACTGCATCATTGACACCTCTCAAACAGCCCAGACTCCATGTGTAATGTCTTAGACTGTTTTCAGGATTACGATTGATCCCACAAACTAACACGAATCTTTTCAGCATGTTTTATCCTCACTCACACACTTTCTAGGAAACTTCTCAGAAGGTCACTCATCCAAATATTACTCCAAATCAAGCATGTTTAACTATGGAGTTCTTATTTGTCAGACTACCAAAAAGAAAATACATCTTGTTGGTATAGATAATACCAATAAATTTTTATAAGTCTTCCTTCAATCATGCAGTCTCATACATGCATAGCCTCATGATCCCTCTCATTTCTATGTGAATTCGGTGACCACTCTCCATCCTCACTACTGCAAAATAGACCTTTCGTAACACAATATTACAACGGTCTTATAATACGGTGGGAGAACTGACTTGGTGTTTTGCGTTTTATCGCAAATGTTGCGGATAGCAAGAGTCGTCACCGACTTTTCTTTTATCCAATAAAGGAAAGGGTGAAAAGAATAGGAAAGACCTTTTGAGATATTTTCTTGAGTTCGGGGGGTAGGTTATGAAAAGGGAATGTGTTAGCACCCTTTTCATCTGTAGTTATCTATGGGCTCTTAGTTGCTTGCTAGATCACTTTTGAAATTGCTTTGTTTGAAATATGTTGGTGGTGGATTTTGAAAGTATTTTTGAAAAGCGCCTTCATTTAGGCAAACTTTGTAATGATTTTCGTCTATATAAGAATGCATACAAAGTGTTGGACTTTTTTGAAAATATTTCATGTTTTTGAAAGTGTTTTGTGTATTTGAAAAGATGTTTGTTTCTTAAGATGGATTGTGAGCAAGCAACTAAGAATGTTCTACCTACTCAAAAAGTCTTAGTTCTTTTCCTCCTCCTTTAGATATTTTTATCTTACCATTGATTGATAAGAAGCCTTATCGTTGGATGTGAAGGGACGGCCGTAGATCGTCGTATAGTCATAGCATACAACTTGTAAGATGTTTTAGCAATTGTCGTAATGGACTAAGATCATTTACCAAAGGTAACATTTAAAAGGTCATCGAAGGACTATGATATTTTATTCAAGGGTCTTTGCTAAAACATCTCACGTTCGAGGGACATGACTATTTTAATCTGAGACAACAAGTGTGGGTTACCCTAGAGGTGCAAGTGTGAACCGTGTTTTGATTGCATGCATTTTTGTCTTGAGATTAAGGATTCTCTAAGATTAATTTTATCTTGTCATACAAACCCTAATTACTAGCATTTTTATTCGAAAGCGATAAATTGCGGAAATCAAAGTCCTACGCTATTACATCATTTAGGGGATGAGGATACAAGTTTATGAATGGGGAATGAAACAACTACAACCTAATTAATATTACAACTAAATTGAATAAAAATAATAGCAAAAAAGTCTTAAAAAATCAAGATTTTTGGTGTTGAAGCTAACACGGGTCGTGTCCTGTAACACGGGCAGCCGTGTTAGAACCCTGTAATAATTATGCATGTTTTTTTTTGTCCCAGCTGTGCTCACACGGGCACCCGTGTCAGGACCATATCCTGCCATTTGGTCAAGTTTTAACTGCAGTATGTGGGACACGGACAGTGTCCTGTGACACGGGCACCCGTGTCAGAGCCTTGTCTTGCCATTTTTTCGGTTTTCTTCCTAACACGACCCATGTCAGGTGACACGGTTGGCCATGTCATACTTCTAGAAGCACGTTTTTGTGATTTTTAGTGTTTGCAACTCTTCTACTTTGATTTTTCCTATTTTATTCTTTTGAAAATGAAAGTAAAATGATGTATGAACAAGAATATCACAGTTTAAAAAAACTTACCTCTTGAAGTAAAAATCCCAAACGTGTATGGATATTTCCAGGTGCAATGTGATGATTGATTGAGCTTCCTTAGACCTCCTTGAAGTTGTTTCAATCCTTACTTTATGCTGAAAGTGTTTGAATCTCTCCAACCAAGTCAAATTGCAAAACAAATGTGTGTGAGTTTGGGAGGTGGTGATAATGATGTTACAGAAGTTATTCTTATGTTTGGACAACTTCTATATGATATATGTGAGGTATTTGGATGGTTTGTTTGGGGAAAACTTGTAAGGTATGAGTTTCAAAGATTTGGACTTCAAAGCTCAAGAGTGAAAATTTTGTGAACAGTTATGGTTTTTGAGAGTATGAGAGGTTTTGAGGATTTTTTAACACACAAGAAGCTATCTATTTTTTATGACCACTTTCTCTTGCAAATGCTCCTTCTATTTATAGACAAAGGGTTTGTGAACAAGCTGATTTGGTTTACAAACTATGGAGTTATGGCTAGGTTGGATTACAAATATCAAGTTATGGCATGGTCCCAAGATGAAGTACCAAAGTTGTTGGTTTAAAGGGGCTTATTTCCATGTTTTTGGTGGAGTAAAATCAGAAACAAACAAGGTATGGGCTCAAGATATGTTTTGTGCCAACAAGCTTGCTTTTTAAGAATAGCAATGGTGCCTTTATGCCATAAATGGAAAGATCTTTTGGACAATGGCTTAAAAATTTGGGTAATAGCTCAAGAATGGGTGTAAGCATTAAATTATGGTGATATTGGCAAGTAAGAAGGCCTGAAACACAAGATTATGCAGCATAGCATAAGGGTTTTGTTATGTGTTATTCACTAAAATGACTTGCAATTCAAGAATGGATGTTTAACTTCATGCCCTTGAATATCATAGCTCAAGTATGATAAATTCATGCTCTTTGATGTTTTGGAAAGTTTGAAACATCCTCTATAAATTTTATGTTGGCCATTTTGACAAAATCATCTTGGAACTATGTGAAAAAATTCCAAGAAGTTGGGATAATCCTGACCAAAACTGCTGAAAATTTCTCTAAGTGTTTATTCAAAAATGCCATGACTTCATGAATTTATAACTCAAAATCCAAGCATTTCTATAAAAATTCCTTCCCTGCAAAGTTTTAGATCTCATTGAGATCTAAAACTTTCATGTTAGAAGTTTTCCTTAAATCATCTTGCATAATGATGAAAAATTGGCATGAAGACATGAAATTATCATGTATAAAAACACTTAGAAAAATTTCTAAGTCTTGAAGAGTTTGACTTTTCACATTGAATTTTGACTTTCTTGATTTCTTGATGATCAAGCTTTGTATTTCGACACGTCTTGATGAAATATGATTTTTGAAACTTGATTTTGATCAAAAAGTCAAAGTTTAACTTTTCAGTGTACAATTGACTTTTCATCAGTTGACCAAATTTCAACTATTAATCCATTGATCTTGAGAAGTGCTTTGAAAAGGAGAGGGAAAATTTTGGGGTACAACAGTTGTCCTTGTTCAATCTTCTTAAACCTGAAGAGTTAGATTGGTGGATACGTCATTCGTGACTTGAAGGTGGAAGATGATTGAACACTAGAGTGCCCAGAAATTTGCACTCGCTGATGTGTTAGTTGACTGTGTCGGGAATGGGATTGTAAATGCCAATTGGAGAGGTGATAAAGAGCTATCAGAGATGGGCGTATAGATTCCACCCAAAGTGATTGCTGGCAAGTATAAACTTGATTGTGACGTATAATAAAGGAATCTTTGACGACTACTACTTCGACAGGTAATGAAGGAATCTTTGACGACTACTACTTCGACAGGTAATAAAGGAATCTTTGACGACTACTACTTTAGCACGTAATGAAGGAATCTTACAACTACTACTTCAACAGGAAATGAAGGAATCTGACGACTACTACTTCAACAAGTAATGAAGGAATCTGACGACTACTACTTCAACAGGTAATGAAGGAATCTTACGACTACTACTTCAACAAGAAATGAAGGAATCTGACGATTACTACTTCAATAGGTAATGAAGGAATCTGACGACTACTACTTCAACAGGTAATGAAGGAATATTTAACGACTACTACTTCAACGGGTAATGAAGGAATCTGACAACTACTACTTCAACATGTAATGAAGGAAACTTTGACGACTACTACTTCAACAGGCAATGAAGGAATCTTTGACGACTACTACTTCAACAGGTAATGAAGGAATCTGATGACTACTACTTCAGCAGGTAATGAAGGAATCTGACGACTATTACTTCAACAGGTAATGAAGGAATCTGATAACTACTACTTCAATAGGCAACAAAGGAATCTTTTACGACTA